TTAACCAACCCTTCACAGCTGCCGTGCGTTATGTTAAACATTACACGTTTCCTCCCATTTAAGCCACATAACTCTATGACACAAAGCTACTCCTGCCTAGTACAAGTGGGAACTGAGGCTGTTGTCCAAGAACACACAGAAGTAACTGGCAGAGATGACCTTATCCAGACTGTTCTAACACCAGATAACTGGGATCTTGTCATGAGAGAGAAGTAAAAACTCAAGAGTTTCCCAGGCTTCCTCTCCCCACCATCATGAAGGGGACCAAGGCTCTGAAGTAAACTACCCAAGTTTTGCCAGGAAATTATAGCAGAAGCTAGTTCTACAGAATTTTATCTCTGATGGGTAAAACAAGAAAACTAGCCAGGCCACGATGCTGCACAATTTTAATCCCAGCACTTGGGAGGCAGAGGCAGATGGATCCTACACAGCAAATTCCAGAACAGCCAGGACTACACAGAGAGACCCTGACTTTATTCCGTGCCCCCCACCCCCCCAAAAAAAAAAAGAACACTAATGACAGAGCTGGGTGACTCTTGCCTCTTGGTGGAGAAACCACCCAATCCCTTGAAAAGGAGTAAAGACAGAGAAGCCCAGAGCATGTTGGTGTTGAAAAGGAAAGTCCTGGGATAGCTCAACCCTCTTCCTGGGCCCACCCACTGTAAGATGGGATTTGCAATAAAATGAGTATCAAAATAATATGGATTTGTAGGACTATGTGCCCATGGATAGGACACAGAGGAAAAAAAGAGGAGCAGAGACCCGTATGCTTTGTCTTCCTCAAATTCATGTTTAATCCCAGCCACATATTGATAGTGTCAAGAGAGTAGAAACATAATCTAACCATAGTGCACAGAGCCTTTTGAAAGTAAGTTCTTGAGGTGTAGCCCCATGATTAGATCCTGGTGGCTTTCTAAAGAGGAAACCATACTCATACAGATTCAGGGCATACTGGGTGGATGGGAGTCGGATACAACTGAGGAAAACCATATCTTGGTAGCTGTGTTTTCTCTCAGTCACAATACCCTTTTGTGATTAAATATCACTGAAGCCACAGCTATGTTCTGGTTATATCAGAAATCAAGGTGTAGAGTGAAAAATTATAGATACTGGGTATATAGAATCCTTTTTAGACATATAAAATATTCTTAGGCTTTCTTTATAAAGACATGGAGAAATCGAGCCATGAAGCAAGTTAAGAATGTGGACAGACTAGTTACGGGAACTGGCTAGAATGCAAGATAGCCAGGTGGAACCAAGCTGAGAACCACAGTGACAGGGCAAGGCCGAAGTAACAGGGCAGGACCACATTCTTGAGGAAAGATAAGCGTACAGAAAGTTTTCACATGACCCTGACTCACGTAGGTTGGGTTCCTTTAGAATGTTCTGCTATTTTTATGTTATGCCACCTTAACAACCATGAGCCCCCTCCCCATTCCTTGGTTTGTGGTTTTTCCCCTTAAAAGCCCCTCTCAAACTGGCTGTCGGGGTCAATTCAGCTCCTGCGTGGGCATACGAATTGACTGGCAGCTAGCTGTCACGCCCTAATAAACCTCGCTATTGCTCTGGTACATGGTGTCTCGAGCAGATTACTGGGTGGTCGAGACTTTCTGAGACTTGAGTGAGGGTCTCCCCTCTGCGGAGGTCTTCAAAGGCAATTTTACAGATGTTGCATCGATGAAGGAGACATCGAGTTATTAGGTTATCACTTGCTCTGTGGTTTGATTCCCAGATCCACAAGTCAACCACCATGGAAAAAACAAAATACTCCCCGCCCCTGCAAATCCCACAAATCCACAATCTCCCTGTCCCTCCCATCAAACCAGACTAATAAAATCAAATGAAGAATGGCAGGGAGAAAAGATTAGCTGTAATATCAAACCAGACTAATAAAATCAAATGAAGAATGGCAGGGAGAAAAGATTAGCTGTAATTAGGTATAATTAGACTCGCTGTATTCGACTTTCAGCTGAGTGCTACTTGAATATTCCTTGCTTTCCTGCTTACCCAGACCAGCCAGGAAGAGGAATCAAGTACACTGCCTAGAGGAAACCAGACTGGAACAGAACTTGAAAGCATGTACAGGAATCAAAAAACCTGCAGACTCATGTAGTTGTTGCCTATTTGTTAAATCAAGTCAACTTTACCAGTTCATTTTGAGAGCTTCCTATCTGTTAGGTTGCTTTAAATTTGGGGCAGAGCCAGCCACTTATAGTCCCTGTCTTCAATATTTGCAGAGTTAAAGAATCATAATAAGATAACACATGCCCTGCTTCAGGAGTTAAATCTCCCAGAAACTCTGAAACAAGGGAGTCCCACTCCCCTCACCTGTGGGGGAAAAAATGAAATAAAGGAGGAGAGACAGATCTATTCCTAAAGTGTGGAGAAGACATTTATTGTAGAGATAAGGGAGAGAGCAGGCAGAGGGAAGAGTGCAGACTGAACATAGCCAGCACACTTAACCCTGAGAGGAGGGCTACTAACTAACGAAGATGCCAAAAGAGACCTGTGTCACCAAAATGACTGGATTATATAAGGATCAGGCCAGGGGGCAGAGGGTAGGGGGATTTAGGGGTGGGGTGAAGAACGCTGGGTGGATGCTGGGAGAACTGGCATGCACCAGCTTTGACATGTTAGCCACTAGTGGCACTGAGACTTAAGGATCCCCAAAGTCCCAATAGTAGACATGCCCAACTCTTCATAGTTTGATTTACCATTCCTCCAAAAGTTGGAGATGTAGCCAAACTTAAGCGCATGTGTGTGAATATGAGCAATCAGTACTTTTTTTTTTTTTTTGAGGCAGGGTCTCACTATGTAGCCCTGGTTGGACTAAGAACTTCCTATGTAGACTGGGTTAGCCTCAAAACACACAGAGATCCTCCTACCCTGGTTCCCGAGGGCTGAGATTAAAGGTGTGTGCTACCATGCTAGGCCCCTTTTTCTTCCACTGTTGCTTCTTATCTTCTCACGTATGTTCTAAACACACAGCACTACTCAAATTCTCCCGAAGCCAGGCCCTTGTCTACCTCTCTAGATTATTACAGTCCTTAAAGTAGGGTCAAGAGATCTCTCATCTGGTGCCCAGCAGATGTAGGTGGTCCTTGCCCAGTCAGGAGACTTCAGACCTTGGACATTCAGCTTCTGTCTATGTTGAGGGAAACAATTCCTGATCTAAGAAACACAACTTGTGGTCATAGTTCAAGTTCTTGGCACATAGGAGGCTCAAAAATGATTATTCAGCCACGTGGAGTGGTACACATCTTTAATCCCAGTTCTTGAAAGGCTGAGGCAGGTGGATCTCTGTGAGTTTCAGGCCAACCTGGTCTGTATCATGAGTTCCAGGCCAGTTAAGGAGACCATGCCTCAAAACATAAATGAAAATAAATAAATAAATAAATAAATAAATAACTAAATAAAATGACATTAACTTTAAAGTCCCAGGCCAGAATTTGAACTCTATGGGAGTCCTGCAGTGAGGTAGATCTAGGAAGGGTTAATAATCAACTCTGGCAGGGTTTTTTTGTGCTAAGAATGAGAAATATGCACCTTGTACTTTGCCTTAAAGACCTGCCACTTAGCTGGGTAAACAAATGGGAAAGCATTAATAGAGTTTTCAAAAGCACTGAAGCAGCGATTCTTAGATTTTAGCATCTGAACTGACTAAAGGGCACTTGCTAAGAGGGCAGCAGCCCCACCCCCCACTCTGATTCGGTAGGTCTGAGTCTGAGCATTTGGCCCTTAGTTTACTTTTCCTACTTCCTCCCAGCTAATGCCACAACCGCTGTGTTGACAAGATTCTCTTCTTGACCAAACTTTGGTCAGGCTCTACGGAGCATCCTCCTGAGTAGAACTGACCGTGGCTCCCGGGTCCTCTCTTCTAGAGGGTAGCTTTGCCAAGAATCCCGCTAAGTCAGTTATGCCAGAATCTTCCACCCTTGATAAGGAATCACTCTCAATATTTGATAAGGTTCCTCTTTCACTGTCCCCCCCAAATGATGTCTGAGGACCCTGGCTTGCCTTCAGCAAAGCATGCATTAAGTTTGTCAGATTGTTCCTTACCCTTGTGTTCCCTCGTAATTTTCTATCCGTTGACCTCCCACCCCAATAAATCTTGTCTTTGTTGTATTGAGGGTTGAGGACAACCTCTCTCCCCTCCTGTAAAACCCTATTGAGCTTTTATACCTGGCACAATGGTCTCTTCAAGTTTACTTGTCACAAACTTTAAAAACATCAAAAAAAACTTGTGTGTGTATCAGAGTTTGGGTGTGCACATGTGGAAGTCGCAGGACAACATGGGGTGTCAATGGTCCTCTTTATTTGAGTGATGATTGGGTCTCACTTGCTGCTGCCAGGCTGGCTGGTCCGCGAGCTTCCTGGGATTCTTTTATTTCTGTCTGCTCTCTCACCTAGGCAACCTCTCAGTACAGACATTCATTAGCCTGGCTTTCCTGAGTTTGGGGACCCCAACTTTGGTTCTCATACTCATGTTGGCAAAGGCGGTTAAAGAACCACTGAGCCAAGTACCTCCCCAGCTCTCCTCCCCTTTAAGAGACCCTCTCTGGAGCACAATACTTAGCTCACAAAACATTTCAGTCTTGACTCCATACAAACCTACTTCTGTTCTTGTGTATCTCATCTGTGAAATCTGGATGTAAATTATGTAAAGGCTAAATTGTAAGAGCAAAACCCGGTGCAGCATTTGGTAAAAGTTGGTTAGAGCTCTTAATCTATTCATTGGGGGGGGGGGGGAAGTGGGTCGACGAAGTCTGGGGTTTAGATGGCTAACGCAGAGTAAAGAATGAAGTCCTTGTTCTGTGCAGCCACACAGGCACAGATCTGAGAGGCAGGTATTTCCTAGCACACACCTACAGGACCGCTTTGAGCCTGAACACAAGCCTGTGACTGCTAGGAACTTTAGTGCCTGCGACGACGCGCAGGCGCAGACCCGCTATGGCTATGCTCTCTGCGCATGCGTCCTGAGGTGCGGCGTGTGGCACGCTGGCAGAGTTAAAAAAAAAATGGCGGCGGCAATTCGGATTCGGGCGGTGGCGGCTGGAGCGAGGCTCAGCATTCTGAATTGCGGCCTCGGCACCAGGATCCGCAGCCTTTGCAGCCAGCCGGTGTCAGTTAATGAGCGCATCGACCACAAGCGCCATGCCGCGCTGCTGGGAGGAGGCCAGCGCCGCATCGATGCGCAGCACAAGCGAGTAAGTCCCGGGCGCCAGCGCGTCCCGCCCCTCTGCTCGCGACCTATCACAGCGCGTCTGGCTCGCGGCGCCCGAGCCTCCCAGCCAATAGGCGCGGTGCCTGGGAGGGGCGCGGCGAGAACTTTCACCTGGAGAACCTAAAGACCCCTAGGGTGTCAGGAGACTGGGACGAGCATCTGCACACTTAGGGAGGTCCCCAGGCGGTGGTGGTGGGCGATGATCGGATGGAGGGATATGACCCGTCTCCAGCTGCGCTCCATTTAGCAGCTGTGAACTTCTGGGAAAGCTGGTCTTTAGAAAGCATCTTAACCAGAATAATGCCTTCCACATCTTGTTAGAATAAGATTGTTTCACTCTAGTCCACAAATTCTGAATTTAAAAGACCGAAGTGTTCTCCCGCTGCCTGAAAGAGTTTATGGCAGGTCTTTTTTTCCCCACGGTGGAAGCAGTAAAACCGAGGCACGAAGTATTAGAAAACAAACTTGTTTATGTTCACATTAACTTGGCGTGGGGTCTCCGTGCATGCAGGAGACTTGTGACGCCTGTGCCCGAGGAAGTCAGGTCCGCCTCTTGAGAGATTCCTGTATCGATTTGCTGCGTAGGAAGCAGGTGGACTTTCTATAACCTCGCAGGCTACTCTGCGGTGAGCAGCCGAGGCACTAAATCACTGCCTAGATTTTCAGGAATCACATTTGAGTTTCTTCTGGGGAGGTCATTTAGCAGCAGAAAAAAACAAGCTGGAAGAGGTGATCCTAGACTTGAAGTCAGACTTGCCCCGTGTGTCCTTGACTCATGTGTGAGTCCGGACGAAGAGCTGGATGAGTTAACAGGAAGGTCTCCTAAAGGAAACGCTCCCTGTGAAGGGCGTAGAAGTCCTACTCAAATGTGTGACAGTCTGAGTCTTAGGTCTAGGTCAAATGTTGATTCAGGCGTCCTGAGTTACGAAAACCCTCAAGGATAACTATTCCTCTTGACACTTAGGGATGTAAATGTGGTTGAAAGGTTTGCGGTGAGCCATAAGCCCTCTCTCCCTTGGGGTCCTGCTGAAGGGCTATTAAGTTTCCAGGGAAAGCCTGTTGCTGCTCCCCTAACCTCTTTCTTGGGGCAGGCACCGGCTCAGTTGTCTGTTCCTCCCCAGGCAGATCCTGATGCTCTTAGATTAAGGCCTTTGGAGCTGTTTTCTGCTGTCTGAGCTTATTTAGTGGGGGGCTGATTTGTGTTCCCTTTAAGCAAATTAAGTTTTTCATTATGTCCATGAGTCAGATGTCCTAAAAGAGGACCAGAAAGTATGACTATTTTAAAATTTATTAATCTATCTATCTATCTATCTATCTATCTATCTATCTATCTGTCTGTCTGTCTGCATAGTTGTTAGATTGAAAATAAATTTGTTTTCCACAACCTCATTGGCTTTCACTATTTTCTTAGAATAACTAATTTAAAATTTAAAAAAAAAATTTCTTGTTTGTTTAATGTGTACTTGTGTTGCTTTCTTGACACGGTAGGCCAAGGAATTTGCAGATTTGAGGTTTTGGGAGCCTAAGACACGGAGGCTCTTGGTAGATTGAGGATTCAACTTCATCTGAAAGGAGTACTCAGTTTTTGAATTAGGATCTCATGCAGCCCAGGTTGGCCTTGACTTTTCTTTGCAGCCAAGGAAAATGCTAAGCTTCGGATCCCGCTGCTTCTAACCCCGTCCCCCAGCTCTGGGATTGTAGGCATTCACGTAAAACCTGTGCCCTAGGCTGTCCTGCCAGCACATCTTACCTGCTTGTTAACTTGGTCTGTGGCGACATCACCAGCGGATCCCTGTGTTGTAGGGAAAGCTAACAGCCAGGGAGCGGATCAGTCTCCTTCTGGATCCTGGAAGCTTCGTGGAGAGCGACATGTTTGTGGAACACAGATGTGCCGACTTTGGGATGGCTGCTGATAAGAATAAGGTATCTTTATCTGTTCCAGTGGTGGTGTGAACACTTCCCGTGGCTTCCTGCCCTTCCCACCAGAGCAAAGAGCCCATATAACCTTACTCTCAGACCCACTGGAGAAGTACTGAGGGGCCTTTGGGCTCTCTCTCGGAGCTTCTTCTTTGTCTGCAGATGACTGTGGGTGGCTGTTTATTCTGGGCAGTGTAACTCAGGTTCAGTTTCCAAGGCTCAGGTTGCAGGTTCCATCCCTCATCATACAGAATGATAAGTTTGGAAGGAGGATCATGAGAGTATCATTCAGATGGGTTCCAAGAACCAGGCCCTCACCTAAATGCAGGCTAGTTGTTGCTTTTGATACTTCTTAAGTTTGAGCCTATGTTTAGGTGTTTTAATTGTTTATTTTTTTTTTCAATTTGTCTGACTGTATCACACAGGCTGCCTTAGAGCTTTACATAGCCCAGGCTAGCCTTGAACTCATGTACCTCTTGGCCTTAGCCTCCTGAGTGGAATCACAGACATACACCACATACACCCAGCACCTCTGAGTCTTTGAGGTCAGTAAAACCAGATTGCTTTTCATGTGTGCGTGGAGTTCTTTGGATTAACTTCTGGTCCAGTTTTCTTATATCTGCTGTCTGTGACCAACAATGTAAACTGCAGGCTCTAAGTCATTATGGGCACACTGATGGTGGAGTTTCCATGAAGAAGAGTGGGTTTGGGTAGGATATGTAACTTTGGAAGAGCTGCTATACAGATATGTTCTGTCTCTCTCTCTCTCTCTCTCTCTCTCTCTCTCTCTCTCTCTCTCTCTGGATGTTACTGTATAGCTAAGGCTGGCCTTAAGTTTGTAATGATTCTCCCTCCTTAGTTTTTGCTGGGATTCCAGGCATGCACCATCATGCCTAGTGCTACTGTTTCCTTATGTGTTCATCTCAAGAGTAAATGGCCGGGTAGCCCTCTTATAGTTATTTTGCCTTTCTTTCAAATTATTTATTTATTTATTTTGGTGTACTGGGAACTAAACCAAACTTTGGTTTTTAGTTTGAACCTTCTTCAAACCAAACCTTAAAGAATTTGGCATTTTCTTTTTCACTAAGGCATGATGCCAACTTGACTATAAGAAGTATTTGGGCCTGGCAGTGGTGGCACATGCCTTAAATCCCAGCATGCGAGAGAAGCAGGTAGATCTCTGTGAGTTCAAACAGACCTAGTTCCAGGATAGCTAGGACTACACAAAGAAACCCTGTCTCGAAAAAGAAGAATTTGGGATTTTGATTTTTTTTAACCTTTATTTTTACATTTCTCTGGTAGTTTCCTGGAGATAGCGTGGTCACTGGACGGGGCCGAATCAATGGACGATTGGTTTATGTCTTCAGTCAGGTATGTCTAAACTTCAGGAAATGAAGCTCACCTCCAAGGTAGAGCCAGGAACAAAATATGTGAAAGAAAACAATTTGGGGAAATGAAATCTTGCTTAGAGTTTGGGGCACATGACAGATTTTCTTTTTTTTTTTTTTGTATTCATATATAGTCTTTTTTTTAAAAGATTTATTTATTAATTTTATGTATATGAGTACATTGTTGCTCTCTTCAGACACACCAGAAAAGGGCATCGGATCCCATTACAGATGGTTGTGAGCCACCATGTGGTTAATGGGAATTGAACTCAGGACCCCTGGAAGAACAGTCAGAGCTCTTAACCACTGAGCCATCTCTCCACCCTCATATGTTCTCTTAATGCTATTTTCCTCTTAGGAAGGACGAGGCCTTTGTCTTTGTCTAGGAGGTGGTGGCAGGGCAGTAGGCTTGTGTGAAGTTGTTCAAACAATGAGTTGATTCTTCTGACTGTGTTGCGTGGCTGTGGGGCATGGAGTTCAGGGCTGCAAGGAGGATCCAGGTGCAGCCCGAGTAGAAAAAAATTGATTCTTAAAAGCATTGGTCTCTGAGCTCTGGGCTTTTTTGAAAATACCCAAATACATTTTGTGAGGTTCCATCAAGAGAGATGAAGTTGAAGTACACTGAGACCTGAGGTAGACCTTGTAGGCAGAATCCTACACGGATGTATGTCATGTACAAATTGATTTTTTTAAAAATAGTATTTTATGTGTATGGGTGTTTGCCTGCTAATAAGTCCTTGTACCATGTGTATACCAGAAGAGGGCATCAGGATTATCTGGATCTGGAGTTACAGATGGTTATGAGCACCAAGTGGGTGCTGGAAATCAAACCTGGATCCTTTGGAAAAGTAGTCAGTGTTCCTAACGGCTGAACCGTCTCTTTAGCCCTGCATGTCCAAAATTTTAATCTCTAGAAGTTGTGTGTTACTTGATACGGTAAAGAAGAATCAAGGTTCTGATCAACTGACCTTATGATAGTGTGGCCTACTTGCCCAGGTGGCCAGCTATAATCACAAAGGTCTTTAAAAGTGGAGGAGAGGACTCCACCTGCTGTATCTAATTTTGAAAATAGAGAAGAATCCTATGAAAGAAGCAATGGAAGCCATCTCTAGAGGCTTAGGAAAGAGAACAGACTGCCCTTGAAGCCTCCTGAGAAGTCACAGACATCTTGACTTCAGTTGTAGTCCAGTGAGGCCCCTGGGGGGAACTTGTAAACCACAGAATGGGAGAGAATAAAAGTGTGTTGTCTTAAGTCATGAATTTGTGTTACTTTGTTAAAACAACAATAGAAACAGGATATTTCTTTTTTTTATAATTTATTTTTTCTCAAATCGTAATTCATTCACACAGGGGTTATAAACACAGAAAGGCAGGATGTGGGGAGGGGAATGACACTGGAGTGTGGGTGATCAGGAGGAATACAGATATCATCAGAACCGGGTATCGGCTGGGTGAAGGTTCAGGGGACAAGTCACTATGACTCTGGCTATGACTCGCTTGTCCTTATCTAAGTTGGTACTATCCACCAAGGCTACCTATTTACAAGGTCTATGACTACTCAGGCTGGTAAATTTCCACAAAAGCTGCCTGTTGACATTAGCTTATAGCCATCTGTTTCAATGTTTTTCCACTGAGACCCAAGACTTGGTGTTAGTATACATATATGACAGCCCTATTGCTGATTTTAGGCCTATGGCTGATTTTAGGCCTTCAGTGGGTAAGCAGGGCTGCCCCTGACATCTCCTCCCTTCTCTAAGTATAGAAGGACTGTGGCAATTCTAAACTTGCGAAGGCGGGGATAGAGGCCTGACCTCCAGTATTTGAAGGGGACCTTGTAATGGCTCCGGTCCCCCTGTCGTTGTCCAGTGAGGCATGAGGGCCATACCCGTCCCGATGTCTTTTTCCTGGAGAGGGGATACTTTTGACATCAACCCCTATGCAGTCAGGCTTGTCCCTCAGGGAACCCAGAGAGATATTTTTATCTTTTATTTATATTCCCTTGCAGTGCTTAGCCTCTCAGCCTAAGCAAGAATTCAGATCGCCTGACAGAGGGGGTTCGAAACAGGATATTTCTTGTGCTATTTCATAATAGATTTTTTCTATTTGGGTCAGCCAAATGTTGAAGTTCACATTTTTTTCTTTCAGTTTTTAAGAGCTAGGCAGACATAAAGAAGGCAGCACAGAAATGATAAGACAAATAGTGTTTCCTGGCCATGTCTGACTAGTTAAAGCCAGTACAGAAATTCAAACAGTGCATTTTTGCTGAGCACCTTCTCTGGTCATGGAGTAAGTGGGAGAGAGGAAGAGGAGGTGGAGTTGATGAAGGCAGGGCTCTCATTTCAAAGACGCCAACTCATAGGTAGAATGGGGCAGCACAGGTGACCACAGACAGGGTAAGAGAGATTCCAGACAAATGCTTTGGACCACACAGGAGCCTTTCCAGGTTTGAGGATATGATTAGGGAAAATGGCCATTCAAAAGAGGTTGAGTACCAGACTTGGGGTATAATGAGCCAGCTTCTTCATTGTGATCTCCAGGATACTGACACAGGTAGGTTTTCTGGGGTGTATCCTCCTTCCCTTGGTTGCTGGGCATCAGGATGCTATGGAGACAGGAGGGGGGGCGAAGCCAGCAGGGCAGATTCAGTACTCAGGCTTCTAATCTCTGGTTTTCATCCTCACCTTTCCTTCTTTTAGGCCAGTGACCCTGAGTCTAGATGTCTCTGACTCAGTTTTTTTTTTTTTTTTTTTTAAGAGGAATAGCCTTTCTCCTCTTAAGGTGAAGGAGGTGCTCCCTGAGTTCTCTTAACACAGGCTTACTCCTGTTTAAATGTCCACCTTCCTTATCCTGCTTCCTCCTTGGTGTCCCCTCTGCAGGTGTATTTCCTTCTTCCCTCCCTCCCTCCCTCCTTCCCTCCCTCCCTCCCTCTGTCCCTCCCTCCCTCCCTCCTTCCTCCTTCTCTCCCTCTCTCCCTCCTTCCTCCTTCCCTCC